GCTATGTTCTAGGAAGAATGGAGCTTAGAGCATGTTGTGAAAAATGCTAGGAAAGACGTTTAATCGGTGAAAATGAGCTTAGATAGCTAAATGAGTATATTTGGAAAATGGCAAGAATATGACACTTAGATATTGGATTTCTTGCATTGTTGATAAATGGTTTGGTTTGGTTGGTTGTTGATTATGCCTTGGTGTTGTCTAGGATTGAGGCAATTGGACCAACCTTGAGAGACCAACCATTGGAGCAAGCTATGGAGCTTGATTAGCTCCATTGGATAGGTAAGTTCATGCTTATGTTTGGTATGAATTGTATAGCTTGGTTGATAGCTATGAGATGTTATTGGATGCAATATGTGTTAATTGCATTAAACCTTGTGTAGGTTTTGTTTGAAAAGTGGAGTATTGTAATTGACTGACTGTGGAACCTGTTGGTGGTGAACAAAGGTTGACTGAAGCATTGAGGTAAGCCTTCGGACCTTGGGTGTAATTCCCTTGACTGTTCCACCAAGCCCAGAAAGGTTGGAGGTTGTGATTGTGTATATAAATGCAATAAAATAGTGTAATGTTTTGTTATACGTATGTGTATGCATTTGGTGTGGCATAGGATGGTGTTTTCCTATGTTGGTATGTTGCATGACGATGCGTAAATCATACTTGGTAGTTAGCTGGCCAGTAGGACTATTTGCATCTGAGTTTCCTTAGGACAGCTTGAGAGCTCGAGGGATTTCTCCTGGAGATGTTATTGCACTTTGCATAGATATGTATTTACTGCATTATTATTGTTATTGCTATTACACTGATAAGGAACTGTGGGGTGGAGAGATGCTCCAAGGACCCCTGGTTTACTGGATATATTCGTATATCTCACCCCGTGTTGTGGGGACCCCCTTTCAGGTAAGGATGCTGCAGGAGCCTCTGGTGGCAAGTGGCCATATCTGGATTAGCATATGCATGAAATGTGGCATTTCTTTTGAAATTATACATGTTGTTTTGTAGCTCACATGTATAGAATTGTAATTAATAGGCAATGCTAGATTCATGATTTGTATATTGGAATGGACTTAGCCTATGCTCATGCCTTTGGTCATCTCTTTTGTTGATGGGAGCCAAGGGAATGATCATAGTGTTTTGTAAGCTAAGTTCCATGATTTGTAATGAATATGTACCGTAAATGATGCCTACTTGAAATTCAATATATGCATGCTTGTTATGTATTGAGTTATTGAATTGGTTGAGCTGAGAATCAATTAGGTACCTTTTGTTTAAATTGGGAAACATTGAGAAAACAAAGGTTATGCTGCCCAAATTCTAGCTAAATCTCATGAGGAGAGGTTGGATGAGTGCTAGGATTTAGTTTTGGGGCATGGACAATTGGGGTTTGGAAGAGGGATGCATCTTCCCCTAGACTTGGACTTGAAAAATGTGGGAATTGGAATTCCCTGGCAGCGCGCTTCAGCGCCCAGGAGCGCGCTCAAGCGCCCTGCTGCCCCTGTGAGTGCCAATGCATTCGGCCTCCTCGCGCTGGAGCGCCCAAAGTGGGGGCTTAAGCGCCCAGGATTGCGCGCTTGAGCACCCTGGTTTGCGCTTAAGCGCCCTTCGCTGCAGAAAGATGGGATGTTTACTGTCTCCGCGGGTTTTAGCGCCCGGAGTGGGGCTTAAGCGCCCAGGGTTGCGCGCTTAAGCGCCCTGGTTCGCGCTTGAGCGCCGTTAGCCACTGAAGGAGGAGATGCTTCTGTCTCTGCGCGCTAAAACGTCCCAATTGGAGCTGAAGCGCCCAGGATATAGCGCTTGAGCGTCCTGGTGCGCGCTTAAGCGCCCATTTACACTGAAATACCTGATGCTTCCTGCCTCCGTGCGCTTAAGCGCCCAGATGGAAGCTTTAGCGCCCGATAACGCGCGCTTGAGCGCCCGGTAGCGCGCTGAAGCGCGCGGGGCCTGTGATCAACACCCTTTTGTGTTGCTTTCAATTGTCATAACTTGGGCTACAGTGCTCCGATTTGAGCGCGGTTTGAAGCCACACGTAGCTAACGAAGAGATCTACAATATAGTAGAAGTTGTGAAATATATAAGGAGTCAATTAATGGTTTAAAGATGGAATAGGAACGTGATGTTAAGCTTGATTTATCTGATTCCGCAAGGTAATATGGTTATGATCACGAAATTGGGTATTATATATTCGGCATGTTTTATAAATGAAAAATTTATTCGGATTTTAATTGAACCCATGTGATTGTAACTGCGCTTAATATCATAATGCGATGGTAACAAACCAGTTCTAGAACGGGGTGTTACAACTTTCGTATGTCTTCTTCGTTCCAAAAGAGGGAGAAAAAAAAGAAGATTTCGAGTGAAATCTTCCAAAATTCATAAAGACAGCTAGAGACCTCCAAATCACTTCTTTCCAAAGTCAAACTTGTGAGAAATTTCGAGAGGAACACATTGGTATCCATATTTTTGTGTGGGGTTCACTATAGAGTGTTCTTCTTCCCCTAAGATTTCGAATTTCATGAAAAATATGGGTTTTGATAGAGCTTGAGGCCATGGGAGCTTGAAATAAAATTTTCCCTTCATTCTTAGGTACATTGTGAGTTGATCCCAATGTTGTTTTGAGCGATTTTCATGGATTGGAATCCACATTCGCTTGAGTTGGAGATTTGTGAATTTTTCACATTGAGGTAAGTCATAGTATGGATAATTAGAGAGTGATTTGGATATAGCTTCCTTTGATAAATATGCTTAGGATTCCTTCTTGATGAAATACAAAGCTCACTATAGAAAATCATGGTTTTTTGGCTATATTTCAATTTTGAAAACTTAATGGTATGAGTAGTTGGAGGATGATTTGTAGGTGAGTGTCCCTTTGTTAAACATGCTTGGAATTGGTTCCGTATCGTTTCTACGATTTATGTTTCTACCATCTCTTTCCATTTCTACGTAGAAATTCAATTTTGATAACATTAGTATTAAGGAACAAAACACCGAAATATTATCTAAATCAGAATATAAAAGATCACATGATGATATGTGAAACTTACACTCTTTGTTTCTTACAGTCAACCACAGCTAACACACACAAAAAAAAAAACATACTCTTTAAGCAACTTTAAAAAAGTTCGTGGGCTCTACTTTAGGAGAACCACAACAGGAAGAGGTGTGCTCGAACTATTTGCAGTACCGTATTGATAGTTTTCTTACTTTCATCTAACTCATACTTATTATAAAAAATCATTTCACCCAAAAAGTTTAAGCTATTGAGCGAGGTACATTAATAACTTTGTATTTTTCTAACATGTTCCCTCACACTAGAGTTCACTGAGTCTGAAGGATGGATAATACATAGGTCCACTACTTATGTTAAGAAACTCTATCAAACTTAATTAATTATTAACTAAAAGGGTGATAAAGATTGAACTCGTGATACCGAAGCTCTGATAGCATATAAAGAACTATTTCAATCCAAAAACTTAAACTATTGAGTGAAGCTATGTTAATGAGTTTATATTTCTCTAAAAGGTTACAAAGCCAAATTGTCTTTTGACGACGTTAGCGTTGAATGAGAAATGTTCCAAGTTTCATTTCTTTTTCTTTTTTTTGGAAATATCCAAGTTTCATTTCTTTGTTCAGATAACAGCAACTTTATTTTAGATGGTTCTATGACATTTAATGATTTAAATGGTAAAGTTTCTTTAAAACATAATTGAATTTGTGCGAATGCTTAAAGGCGCATAAAGTGAGAAAAATTAATCTATGACAGTTGTATTTCATTGTCCCTAAGTGGGAGCATAGTTGTTGTCCCATCCCATAGCTGTGATCATTATGTTTTTCTTACAATGGAATAACGTCATGATTAGTATGAACTCTTGAATGTAATTAGTTTGCATTACCAAAAAAATTGAGGATGAATTTGCTTTGTTGAAGTATCATTCTCATAGATCAGGTTTCTTTCTGAAGGAACATCTGTGTGTCTATCTGCTTGATTTTTTAGTCAGTCAAAACTAACAAGATTCTAAACAACCCTTATCTAACTGGCTCCAAAACTTTTGTTGATACCCATGATTGAGTTAATAGTAAGAGTATGCATGTCATTTTCCCCTTAATTACCATTTAATCTTTAAGAAATAACCATGTATGTACTTCCCTCCAATTTATGGCAATGAAGAAATGATTGGAAATATTCAAATGTGAGTAGTAATGAAGCCTCTTCTCGGTTAAAAATAAATTGACTGAGAACCATATAAGTGCAAAAAAAAAACTCATAAATTTAGATCTTTAATTTTTTGGGATAGATATGGTATCAGTTGTTGTGATTTAGTCATTTTGTACCTTCTCTATCACAAACAAAAGAAGAGACATGTAAAGAACTTTGGGATACATCACTCCAAAAACTAGCTTAAAGGGTGAGAGTGCTCAAGGCCTTATAAACTCCACATTAGTTGCACATACAACCAATGTGGGACTATATATCTAAACAAGACATAATCATATAAAATGAGAGCTTCAAAGGTTAACTCCAAAGTTAATTATCCAAGTACTCAACCCAAAACGTTTCAGCGAAATTTGAACTGGTTGAGTACCCTTATATTTCAGTTCTCAACTTTTAAGAAATGAGAATGTTATTGCTTGTAATTTGAAGACAAATATATGACTTAGATTTGAATAGAAGCAAAACATTGATTCAGAGAAAACATAATGAGGGGAACTGATCAAATGTTAATTATCAGATATTGCTTTAATCATTCAATTAGAAGGCAAACCCCTTTTGACTGTTACTCACGAACTGCTCATCCCCTCAACCAAACATGACAACAACATTAAGACAAACAAACTGTTTACCTAAACAAACCCAAAGTGACACATGTCAAAACTTAAAAGACTTATTCATTTTCCCTTAACACATCAAAAGAATTTCACAACTATTTCTTTATTATTGAAATGAAAGGAACAAAGCATTGAAGAATAACTCAGGACCAACAAATCCGGACCCAAAGGCTCAGTCAAAGTCAACATTTTGGAAGATCAGATGGTGGGGGTTGCAGCTTCTGGTTGGGGCCAGGTCCATCTAATACTAGCCATGCCATTCTCAATCCCCAGCTTGTATGAATGTCAAGGTGGCAGTGCATGAACCACACCCCTGTTGCCATCACAGGACTCAATATGAGATAAGCAACAATGACATGATACACACAGGTTTACAAACTAATGTATGATGACAATGCCATTCTATCTGCTATAACTTTTTTCTAGACAAGGAACTTGCATATATAACATGCAAGCATTGTCCCATATATAAGAGAAACCTCAAGTTTTAGAGTATCATTTCTAACTTTTAAAAGGGTATGTAAAGTATATGAGTGTAAATATATGAATATCACTCTTCAACAGTATCTCATTAGAAAAGAAATTAAGGTTCAAAATCCTTTTTTTTTTTTTTCAAGTGGTAAACTTAACAGAATTATAAGACATAATAATACCCACAATCGATTTTAATTATTTTTTCAATTTTGAAGCAGTTTTCACTCTTTGTTTTCCATCCTTAGTATTTCAAATATAAAAAAAGAAAGCATTACATTTTAACGTGAAATTATTAAAGGAAAAATTATCTATCCTTTTAAAGGATATAAGTTATATCGTTTTAGCGAATTATAACTATGTATTCTAAAGAATACATAGTTATAATACTAAATTTAATTTTCTTCTCTCTCTTCAAAAATTATTTGTTGATGTGAAAAGTGAAAAAAATATAACTTTAATAATATAACTATTTACTCCTCCAAGTACATAATTATAATTAGCTAAAAGGACATATCTTATATTCTTTAAAAGGATATCCACTAAACCCATTATTAAATAATTAACTAAAGTTGCGAAGATATGGATGAATGAGCATACACACTTCACCTTTCATTGCTTATTTTTACTAACTCTTTAATTACTGTCATTTTACTATACCTTACTAAAAGAAATCATTTTTCTTCTCCTTATATGAATAACGAAGAGAGGAAGTTGGAAGTTGGAACTTGAAATTATGAGTTGTACGTTTACACTAAAATCAGTTATACTAGTTAAATATAAATGATAATGAGGAAAAATTGAAAGGCTTGATCAATTGATAATAGTTAAGAGTATAATATATATTTTTGTTAAAAAAATATTGGACAATATATAGCTAAATGAAGATATCCAATAAAATGCAGTATTTATGTCAAAATGATTTGATAGTTGAGATAATAGTGTATAATGTCAATTACACCTTTGCTCTAATCAAAGATGTTCCAAATGAACCTACTAAAAAAAATGTAGATGTTCCAAATGAGCGTAGCCGTCCACGTTCAACGTAAGATTTGAAAGCATAGCTAGAAAATTTCTATTTTATTTAGAATTTTTATTATGAGTCATAATTTAATTTTCTTTACCTTTTTTAGACAAAGTTTTAAAAAATGTCACTGACAGTAAAAAAAACCATTTTAGAATGTTATATTTATTAGAAGAAGGTTATACTTATAATTTATTTTTATTTACAACCTTTTACAATTGACGAAAATTAACGGTTAAGATATGGTTATAAAAGGTTGTAAACAAAAATATGTGGTAAGTATAACATTTCTCATCTACTAATAATAAAAAGATCTAAGTTTTCATTTTTCTTAGCAACATGTATGTAACTAACAGTTCATTTGTTATTTCTGAGAAAGAAAGACACATATTTGTTTCTACGGAAACATTCTATTATCTTTGCATAGTCCACCAATTTTACATAAAATAAGTTTGTGTCTTTCTTCTTGTAAAACAATTTTCTTATGAAAAAGGGGTTATGTATGAACACATGCTTTATATGTATAATAACACATGATCTCAATGATTGAAATGTTCCTACCTGGGTTGTCTGCAAAAAACCGAATTGCAATCCAGCCACCAGCAGGAACAGCAGCAGTGTTCCTCTGAACCGGGTCAACCAGGTTGAACTTTGAAGGGTCTTTGTTGGGGTCATAGTTTCCAAAACCTTGTCCAACAACAAAGAAATCAAAGCCATGAAGATGCAGAGGGTGGCTTTCAGCTCCAAGAATACTAGTTCCTTGCAACACTAACTCCACGCTTGTATTGAACTTCAGCACCACCAACTTTGTGTCATTCTTAACAAAAGTGTTATTTGGTGGTGTTCCTGTGTAATTGAAAGTGTTCAAAGGGTATGTAGGAAAATCAGTCTTGAAAACACCCTTAGACTTTCCAAAATAGTAGGCTTGCATGATGGAAACTGATGGGAGTGCAAAAGAAATGTTGTTCACTGAGGCTTCAAATTTGGTGCTGTTACTTGGCCCTTGGCATGTTGTGTTTTTTGGGCAAGGACTTGTCCCTAATCCCACTATGAAGAAAAATTTCTTGTCCACTTTTTGTGGTACATTGGCAGGGAATTTAGCATTGGCTAAGGTTCTGAATTTTCCTGTGAAGTTTGCAACAAAGTTTGTGGCATTTATTGGTGGCAGTGTTGGTTTGAGAAGGGGGAGATTTTTAAGAGTTGAGTGGTGTAAAGGTTGATCGTAAAGGAGGATACCGGCGGTGGTGGAGTTGTCAAAGGTGCCGGCGCCGGTGAAATAAGGCCGAGCAGCCATGAGGTATGTGGCATTGGGATAGTATGGTTTGGTTTTGAGAAGAACATTTGTGGTTTGTCCTGGTGATATGAGGAGTGTATCTGTGTCAAATGGTTTGGTGTATGTAGCATCAGCTTCAACAACAGTTAGGCTATGATTTGCAATGCTAAAGAAGAGCTCATCGTTGAGTGCAGCATTGATTAACCTTAGCAGATATGTCTTGCCTGGCTTCACCTTCAGCCTGAATGTATCTTCAAAAATAATGTATACAGATTAAGTGTAAGGGGTATATTATAGGTGAATAGTCACTTGTATATATAATTGTCTATTGATTTTGATACATTATTTGGTTGTTCTCAATTGCTCTAGTGTACCTAATACTCCTTTAGTCTTTCTCAAGTTTTATCTCTCAAATCAAATTATGTAACATTTTATTTCAATAATTAATCCGTGTCCTATGTCCTAACAATAACTATTTTACCCTTTTTGTTGTCGCATGATTTGGAAAAGATGCACACTTGTACTAGATAAGAATGAAAATGAGAAGGTTAAAAGTAAAAAATGTAGTAATGTATTTTACAACTTATACTGTGTCCAAATACATACCTTGTCAATTTTAACTCCTACATTTTCTACCCAATCTCCACCCCTACAATTTAGTAAAAGTGAAACGGAAATGTATGAAGATATTTATTGTACCTAAAAACACTGTTAATATTCACAAGTTTTCTACTCTCATTCCCTTTTCAATTTTGTGGATAGATTGAACATCCAACTTTATGGTGCCATTGTACAGGCTATGTTTTGTACCTTTAGAGGAACAATTATACAAAGGCCCTGGAAGGCCATTGATGGTGTATGCATCTGAAACATTGGGTCCCCCTCCTGTCTGCAAGGCCTGTTTTATAACAGCTTCTGGGTCAACATTAAACCATTCCCCTGCAATCCCAGGACTGTGCAAGTTACCACTTTATATAAGCAAATTTATCAAAAGAGTTGCATGAAGTTATACATGTGGGACATGTTATCCTTGCACCAGTGCAAGGATAAGATGTTTTACACTTAATCTTGATAACTGATATGCTTATATCTAATGACTCATATATTTAATAAATCAGAGCCATTAAATATAAATAAGATCAACAGTCAAGATTTAAAGTCTAATTTATATTGATATAAAATGATCCTGATCATATATATATATATATATGTTGATGGTGTCTTAGCTATTAATTATACCAAAAAGAATGGGGATTTCCTTATATGGTTTTTCAAATGGATAAGATTGATTGTGCTTGGGGAGGATGATAATGGGTCCATAAAGGGTTGCTCTTAGCCATGAAATGTGAGCATGCCAAAGCAGAGTTCCTCTCTGGCCAATGATGGTGAAGTTGTATGTGTATGTCTGGTTAGTTTGTATGGGACACTGTGTGACATATGCTGGTCCATCAGACCACCCACTTGTTATCTGACGGATGCCATGCCTGCAACAATCCAAGATCAGTAGAAAAATTTGCATAATAAGGTAGAAAATTACGTGCATTATTGCCTAAAAGAGAAGGCTGGGTTTCCAAGTAAAAAGCACATACCAATGAATAGATACATTGTTTGAGATATGGTTAACCACCTTGACCACAACCCTATCACCTTCCCTTGCCACTAATCGAGGTCCTGGAAATTTCCCATTTACACTCAGAATGGTTCTTGTGTGGCACAATCTTGTGACATTGAGGTACTCGATCTTATGCATGAAAAGATAAAGAAGTAGAAAAATTATGAGTGAACAAATGCAAATGATAATGCAATGATAGAAGTAAACTTTATGTAGCATGAGTTTGATATTGTACATTGAATGTATAGTGCCTTGTTATGCTCACTACAAACTCAGGAAACAACGTTATAAGCCAAAAACTAAACAAAAGAACTTTGACAGTTGCAAATGAAGGGAAGTGGGGGAAATCCATTTGTTGTCTTGGTTTGTTGTTGAGAAAAATGAGCTCATATAACTTTATATAGGGTGAATATTCTTCCAAAATAAGGAAATAAAATTTTTGTTGTGGTCATGTCACCATGTCTGGTAGACGGCTTTAGGTCTAGTTTAATTTTAGAGTGGATATGAAGTAAGAATTGTGAGGTCCCAATATTGTTTGAGTATCACAAATAATCTTTGAACATTGCATATTGTATACATAGTCTTGTCCCAAAAAATTATGACCACATGCTCAAGGGTACCAATTTTTTCCCTGCATGTTGCTAAAGAGTCAATTTGTTCAAAGTTGAGTAGTTTTTTTCTGTTGTATTGCTAGACAACATTGTAGATGTCAAATGGCATAGCACTGAAGAAAGAGATAAAGTCCAAGACTATTACTTGAAATCTTGAATACATTATTCAACCTTTGAAAGTGAGGTACACCTATGGAGATCCACATGTACAAATATAGGTTCTTGTCACGTTCTTTTCAACATTACTAGTTCACCTCACAATTTACGTTTTCAAAACTCGAGATGTCCCTTGATCAATGGGGCTTGTTGCTTTTAGTCTGAGTTTCCTTCTGTGGTCCTGCTTAGTTGAGTTCAATTTCTAAAATGGGTGGGTCAAATCTATTGTATTCAACTTTTTTCTCGTGGGACATTTGGTCGAGGAGAAATTTTTTTTTATCCGGGAATCATAATTTCCAGAAATATGATAGGAAAGTTATTTTTCCGAGAATTATAACGACCCTATCTGGTAAATCTTAATTAGAAAATTAATTTAAGAATTTAAATGCCATAATTAGATTTAGAACGTGATTTCGAGTATTTTGACTGTAATCATGACTAGGTCATGAATAGTGCATTCTGTCGAATGTTCTGCATTGTTGTGTAGCAACCGATAGAGCTTAAAAGGAGCAAAATGAGTTTAGAGACATAATTTGGCAATTCTGATGCCAAATATGAGTTCATAACGAAAAATTGTATAGTTTGGCACTTTCCATGAAAATCTCATGAATAGTATTTTTCTGCCAGGTATTCTGTATCGCTGTTTAAGCAACCGGTAGAGTCCAGAACCAAATAATTGATGAAGTAAGAATAAGAAAGTACAATATATGCCAAACAAGTCATAATAGACCCAAGAATGATAAGTTTATAAGTTTTAAGTTTCGTATGCAAACGGCGCACAGTTAGTGATTCACAGTGCATTTCGTCAAAAACGGTGCAGAAATCATACTGTGAATTATGAATATTGTTCCTTAGGGAATAAAAATTAATGTAAATAAGTTCAAAAAATTAAAAATATGTTCGTATCTTTAAATTAGTTCCAGGTAAATTTAAGTGAAATTAAGTTAGAGAAAAACAACTGGTAAAAAGCTACATATGATAATAACTTAAGTTCCTTCCAAAAGGTCAGTATTCACATCAGCAACCTTCTTTTCTCTCTCTCCTGGCCGAGTTCCACCATTATTGGGGGCTTAGGTTTTCATTTTTTTTCCTTTGATTTCTCACTCTACAAGCATCCAAATCATTAAGTGCATTACACGAAATTTGTAGTAAATCACCCAAGGAATCCATTCCACCACTTTGTTTGGGCTGAAATTGCTTGTGGGAAGAGTTCTTCCTCATCTCCAATTCGTGGCACTATTCATACAAGTGTAAAAGTGTTGACTTTGAGTGAGCTTTGCTTGGGTTTTGTTCCTTAGACCTTGGATAAGTGATTTTAGGTAAGAAATCCTCATTCTAATAGTTTGATTTATATGATTTAAGTTTTGAAAGTTTAGAGCACTTTTGGTGGGAAATATTTGAGTTTGAAATTTGAATTGGTTGATGAATTAGTATTGTATATGAGATGGTAATGTGGAATAAGCATGAACATGTGTAGAAATTTTGAAAAACATTCCCTTGGACCATCACACTAGGTTCAGCCATATTGGGCATATAGGGGTTTAGTGTGCAAAAATTAAATTGAATAATTAATGGAGTTTATGTGTATGTATAAGTTGTGAATTAAGTGGAGAAAATGAATGGTAAAAGAAAAGAACCCCTTGACTTTTCCCTTATAGATTTCGGCCTATAGGGTGATTTAGGGATGGATTATATTGCATTTTTTTATAATGTGTTGAGTTCCAATGCATGTAATTCATAAGATTATGAAGTGGAATGGCTTGAGAAGTGATGAAATATACCTTGGATCCCTTAAGTGTATCCCACAGCCTTGGAAAGAAAGAATAGGCAAAAGTGTGCTTTAAATTGCTATATGGGTACATAAGGAACTTAGGAGTCAAGTTAGGGTTCTAGGAACTATTGGTTGTGCCCATTGATTCGATGCAAATTCCTAGTTTTCCGTTGGTCTTGGATTCAGCTATGTAGGGAATTGTGGATCTAGGAATGTTAAAAATTGTAAAGAGTATTTTAGAAGCTTGGTTGGGTCATTCAAGGACCCTAGGTAATTATGAAACAAGGAGGTTACTTGTGTTACGAGTAATCATCCGTAAATGGGTTAAATAATGAGCTTAAGGAATGACGGTCTTGACTTGTGAATTGGCATAAGTGTGAAGAAATGAAAGTAAGTAATAAGATGTATGCCTTGTGTAAATTACATGACATTGTATCATTTTATTGATTTTTGTTTTGGATTCTTTCTCTAGGTGTGCCTAGGGATTGTGAGCATTTGGATTCCTTTGGAGCGAGATAAGTAGCTTGTTTTTCAAGTAAGCAAATTGAAAAGCTCCAAGAGATAATCTCTATGTTTAAGGAGTCTTTTCCTGCGTGAGTGCTCCACCATGGTTAGTGAACTATGGTTGGATTGTATGATTGTATTTGATGCTTTGTATAGATGCATTCATATAGAGCTATTTGATAACATGAAATGATTTGTTCTGATGTTATTTCTGTATTGATCTTTGGCCATTGATTTGTTTGTGCACTGATAACTAGGTATGCCTCTGATAAGATATGTATATATGTTGTGTTCTGTTATGATATTTGTTATATGATGTTTTGTATATTCTGTATCTGACTCTCATGCAAGAGTGGGCCCAGAGGAATGGAGAATTCTCTATAAACTTGGAGCTTATTGAGATTTGTTCTCTCATCCCGTTTGGGGATATCATTTCAGGTGCACAGATTGTCAGTGAGCCTACACGGGGCAGGGATACGACCCGTTGATATAGTGCATCGCAGATCGAATTTTTGGGTAGCAGTCTGCTACCATTATTTTGAAGGATTGTGATTTGCATTAGTATTCCATTTATTTTGGTGGATCATGATGTCTGATTCGTTATTTTGTATATGGCATGTATATGTTTTGTACATGTCTTCCATTTTGATGCATGTACAATTGTCTATTCAGGCATGTTTATATTATGATGCAGTATTCAGTTATATGTCTACATGTTGGTTATGCATGTTGTTAGACATAGTGGCACAGAGTCAAGTTATGCATGCGCCCATGGATGGGTATATGGTCCTATATGGATATCTGGTATTTCTAAAATCATATATTGTATAAACTGTTTATCAGGATACCTTGAGATTGGGATTTGCAAATCCTTAGTTGTCCGATTTACAGAGGTTACTCTGTCCGATTTTTGTCTTGGTCAAATAAGAATTAAACTAGGAGAAGTATGCAATGTGATATATCTTGTGAAAAATGATTAAAGAAAAAGTTAGCCCGTATTTTCGTAAGTTAAGTCTTCTGTTGTTTCTGTTTAGTATCATATGTATGTTAATTGAACCGGCTCGAGACGGGGATGTTACAGGAATGTTACCAAAAAGCTGTTTGGTAGGCCAAAATATTCCCATAAATATTGGGTTAATTTTCCTGATGTTATGTTTGGTTGATTGTAAAATATTGATGGGAATGTGTATCGAATTTACTAAATTAACCTTTGTGTTCATTTTGTTTATTCAGTGACATTTTGTTTTACTGTAAGCTGAAGATGGGTTCAGGTTCTTGGCAAGAACTCACTTCTAAAATGGCTGACATCCATCTCAAAAAGCATCCCCTACCGTAAGCTTTCCAACTAAACCCATACACGGACAACCTTGCAAACAATATCAACACAAATTCAGGGTTTCAAACTTGAAAAACAATAAGAAATGTTCAAGGGCACTTCAAATATCAGAGTTTTGCAAAAATTAACCAATAAACTAAACCAAGAAAAGGGAACAAAATTAATCGCAAAAGAGTAAACTTTACAGGCTTGTATCTCCCCTATCTCTTCTTTTTTCTTCTATTTTGGGTTTTTTTTTCTTTTTGATTTTTCTTGAGAAAAAGGAGGAAAACAAAAAGGGAGAAGTGACTAAGAACGATGGAGGAGTGCCAGATACGTTGAGGTGGAGGTGGATGTGACCGTTGAAACAGAGATAGCGACGATGGTGCTTAGGGATGATGGGAGGTTGAAGAAGAAGAAGAAGGGACAAAGAGAAGAGAGAGGAGGAGGGACATTTTCGTCCGAAAATATATGAGTGATTTTCCCATTATCTGGGAATCCAAAAATACCACCTCCTGGGTGATATTTTTCAGTGGTAATCTGATCTACAAAATACATATAAAAGCAAATTTCGGAAAAATTACTTTCCCAGCAAAATTTCTCAAATTGGGCTACCAAACATGGAGTTCTTAAACTCCCATCCCCACTTTCCTGACCTTCCAAAAATAATCCATACACCAAACAACACCTTAAGCTATAACTTGTTATCAGATAGAACTACAATTAAATGCAAAATTAAAGGATTTACCCCATTTATAAGGGGAAGAAAGTTTTTATATAAATTTATTAATTGTGATAAGGACTTTTTTGGTCTTCCAAGAAGTTCATTGATTACCTGATTAGTTCGGTTCGAGTATTATCATATTTATATTTGGGTAGCTCTCTAAAGAGTCCAAGACCATTTTTCTTTTTTGAACTTAGACTCTTGATGAATGGGAACAAACTTCTTACTCCTTGGATAGGAAAAATTCTTCAACATTACCCTCGTATGTACA